ATATGCTAGTACATGTAGCTAAATATGCTAGTAGATGTAGCTAAATACGCTAGTAGATGTAGCTAAATATGCTAATAGATGTAGCTAAATATGCTAATAGATGTAGCTAAATATGCTAGTACATTTAGCTAAATATGCTTGTAGATGTAGCTAAATATGCTAATAGATGTAACTAAATATGCTAATAGATGTAGCTAAATATGCTAGCACATGTAGCTAAATATGCTAGCAGATGTAGCTAAATATGCTAGTAGCTGTAATCTGCTGCCACTTCTTCAGCTCGTCCTCCTTCCCTCGTCCTCAGCAGGCAGCTGTATGATCATATTGTTGTGTTAAGCTCTGACAGGTGGTGTTCCCACATGTTTAACTTAAATCCAGATTGCTCAGCGAAACTACATTAGCTCGTACTGTTCCACATAAACAAACTCCGGTTCTGGTCCAAGCCGGAAGTCGTGTCCATAATTCATTCAAGGAACCACGGGGGATATGAATAAGGTGGATAGAACAATATTTTATACAAGTTTTTGCTCCTAATTTATTTCTAAAACACAAACCTGTTTGTGACCTTTTAAAAGCTGTTTCAGATTAACCCTGCTTGTTTTAAAGGAGATTAGAAGCCATTGATTTTCAGGAGGCCTAATTTTTCTGCAGATGTGCGGTCACACCTGGAAACGGGCGCGGCGGTCGATTAGAGGTCGAAACCAGCAGATAAACGCTGCCAGCGGTTTGGCACGCAGCAGACGAACGCCTTGCTGCAGAGGCCGGGGTCAAAGGTCAGAGTCAGGCTGTGGAGCGGGGAGTGACGGGGGGCCGGGCTGATCTGGGCTCAGTTTCTTTATTTACTGACAGGTAAAATACAAACCGCTCGTCAGCAGCAGCTGGAGGTGCTTAAAGCTGACGTGAAGCCTGAAGAAAATGGGTGAGAAGTGGTGACAGAGAAGACTAAAGGAAATCAATGAGGACCCGATCGATGGCTGTTTGATTTTTTTTTAAACAACTAATTTCTGAGGAAGAGCAGAAATGTGACATCATCGACCCCCTCTCACCTGACCCCTCATTGATTGTCTCATGGAATTAATTGGGAAGAAAGGCTCAGCTGAGTGATGGAGGAGAGGCAGCTGATGAACTGTAATCCAAACAATCGACAGCCGTGAAAAGAAGGACGGACTGAAGGTTTCCTGAGGTGGGAGCTGAAGGAACGGCTTCTCCTCACACGACGTTCATTCAGACTGTTGGGGATTTATAAAAACCTGGGTTAATAAAATATGAACAACGATCCGTTCAACTTGTTTTATACGGGATAGTCTCATTGAGACACGAGGACTCATTTTCAAGAGAGACCCGTTTTAAACAAAATCAAAAATGAGGC